CCAATTTAGTTGCAATCGTCCCGTCAACACATTTTTTTAGCATGCCTTTAATAATTTGTACGGCCCGTTCCACTAACCCATTACTCGAAGCATGATAAGGTGCAGAAGTAACATGCTGAACTCCATTTTTGTTCAGGAACTCTTTAACTTCAGCACTAACAAAACAAGTAGCATTATCTGATACAATAAGTTCCGGTAGTCCCTGGTTACTGAAGCTTTTACGCAAACATTCAATGGTGGCAGCCGATGTGGCTGAGTTCACAGGATACACGTCCATCCATTTCGAATGTGCATCAATCAAGACCAAGAACATTTTTCCCATAAATGGTCCAGCATAATCCACATGCAATCTTTGCCATGGTTTTTCTGGCCAATTCCAAGGATGCAGTGGGGCTACAGCCGGAACGTTCCTATGCTCTTGGCACAGATGACATGTTTTAACCAACCTTTCAACATCTTGATCTAACTTGGGCCACCATACGTAACTTCGGGCCATAGCTTTCATTCTGGACACTCCTGGGTGACACTGATGCAATTGTTTCAGGACTTCTGATCTACCCACACTGGGAATGATGACCCTGGCCCCCCAGAGCACACAACCATCCTGTACACTTAATTCATATTTTCTTGATGTAAAAGGGTCAAACTCTGCTCCAATTAACTCATGCCCACCACGTTGCACCATTTCTCTCACCCTGGATAATACCGGATCTTTTTGCGTCCACCCTCTCACTTGTTCTGCAGTTATCAAGGTTATGTCTGCATTCTCCAGCATCAGGACTCTTTCCTCCTGTTCAATGCCTGATTCCGTTGACACTGGTAACCGACTTAGAGCATCTGCATTTCCATGATCTTTGCCCGGCTTGTAGATGATGTTGTATTCATAGGCTCTTAGTGTCACAGCCCATCGCTGAATCCTAGGAGATGACATTTGGGGAACAGCTTTTAATTCATTAAATAAGGACAACAAGGGTTTATGGTCCGTAACTATAGTAAACTTCCGACCATACAAATACTTATGGAAGCGTTGTAAGCCGAACATGATGGCCAACCCTTCCTTGTCCAACTGCGAATAATTCCGCTCCACTTGATTCAAAGTCCTTGACATAAATCCAATGGGTCTCTCACTACCATCCGGCATCTTATGCGAAAGAACTGCACCTAGGCCATAAGGAGAAGCATCACATGATAAAATCACATCCTTCTGGGGGTCATAGTGGACCAGAACTTGTACTGAGTTGATCATTTCCTTGGACTGAGCAAAAGCAGCCTCTTGTTCCTCCTCCCAGTTCCATTTTTCATCTTTTCGCAGCAATTTGTGCACAGGGGCTAAAATGGTAGACAAGTTGGGTAAGAACTTATTATAGTAGTTTAACAGTCCCAAATAGGCCTTCAACTCTGTCACATTCTTCGGTGAGGGAGCGTTTTGAATAGCAGTCACCTTTTCTGGTACTGGGTGGAGGCCAGTCTCATCTACTTTATGGCCCAAGAAAGTTACCTCTTTTTCCATAAAGGAACATTTACTCCGTTTCAACCGCAGTCCCGCTTCCTGCAATCTTTCCAATACCCTGGCAAGCGTTTGGGAGATGCTCCTCATCATTACGACCAGTCACCAGGATGTCATCCAGGAAAACCGCCACATACGGAAGACCTTGCAGTACTCCCTCAATGGTCCTCTGGAAGATGGCAGGACTAGAAGACACTCCAAAGGGTAAAACACGGTAAGTAAACAGGCCCTTGTGGAATTCCATGCCCAATTCCTTAATCCATCCTCTACCCAAGAGATTGGGTCCTGTTCCAGGTACTACCACTACCGGTAACTCCTTCATGGCTCCTTTGTGTCTAACTTCCACTTGCGCAGAACCTAACACTGTTAATGTTTGGCCAGTATAGGTTTTTAACTTCAAAGAACAGGTCTTTAATTCTGGAATTTTATGCTTTGTCCACAATTTGGAAAAATTTGACCCATTCATCACAGTCACACCACAACCGGTATCCACTTCAAAAGGTATGATTGACTCATTAACCGCCAATGTGATAGTCAGTGGAGCAACATTTGGAATCTCGGTTTCTTTCAAACTGTGAACTGTAAAAATACCCTCTTCATCAGATGCACTTTTTTCATCTCTGCCCACATAATACGATCTCTGTCCTCCTCTGGTCACAACTCTCTTACGTCTTTCTCCCCCTTGAAAGTTTGTGTCTCTGCTGGAACTTTTTGATTTGCATACTTTCATTATGTGCCCTTGTTTCCCACATTGGTGACATTTCTCAGAAACAAATCTGCACTCATTGGCCAAATGTTGCAAACTTCCACATCTGTAACATGCTCTGCTTTGACTTTCGTCCTGCTTTACTGATGTTTTATGCACTCTCATTGACATGGATGTTTCTGAGCGTTTAGCTTGCAAATCTCTTACATCCTTATTGGCCGTTTCCATTGCTTGAGCTACTTTCAAAGCCTTTTCAAAAGTTAGATCCGCTTCTGCCAAGAGTCTACGTTGAATACGGTCATCATTTATGCCACATACCAGTCTATCCCGAAGCATTTCTGTCAATTTTTCTCCATAGTTACAATCATGAGCCAATTTCCTTAATACTGCCACATACTCAAGTACAGTTTCCCCCTCTTCTCTTGATCTTGAATTGAATTTAAACCGTTGTACAATTTCACTAGGTTTTGGGTTGAAATGCTCTTTAAGCAATTCTACTAATTCCCCAAATGTCTTTGTTCCTGGTTTAACTGGGCTCAGTAAATTCCTCAGTCTACAAAAGCTCACTCTACAACACCTATATTATTGTGTACTAAATTTGGTGCTTCAATATCACTCTCATTAAGCGTCTTAAATGCGGAAGAACGCTTGATTATGCTGCCGTTGTCTGTTTTAGCAGAATACTGCCATCTAGTGGTAGCAGGTTTTCTCAGACAGCTGTGTGTGGATCGTGGAAGGCGAAACCCGCGAAATGAAAGTCTCAAAATCCAAATGAATCAAATAGGATCGACTCAGAAACGAGTCAATGAATGCACGCGTGTCACCTGATCCACAAATGCACATCTTACTTGTTGCATGCACAAATTCTGGCCTACATTAATACAAAATCGAGGTTTTGTATTAACAACTATGTCTCTATTTGTACAAAATGCTGCACATTCATGTGATTTTGGATTTTGCACACACAAGTTGAATTGTATAAGTTTAAATGTAGTGACGCACATTTGTGAACTTGTCAAATATATGGGTAGTTGTGCACACATTAACAATTAGCACCAGGCCTATTCATTTGTAGTTGTTTGTGTGTGGGTTGTGAAATGCTTAAAAACCGCGAAAAGAAAGTCTCAAAATCCAAATGAATCAAATGAGATCGACAAAGAAAAGACGTCAATTAATGCACGCGCGTCACCTGATCCACACATGCACATCTTCTGTGTTGCATGTGCAAATTATGATACACTAATACAAAGGAAAACATTTGTATTCACAAAAATGTCTTTATTTGTACAAATTGCTTCACATTCATTCAATTTAGAATTTTGCACACGCAAGTTGAAAGGCATGGATAAAACATTTCTGCAACACGTATCAAGTTCATTGATAAGTGTGCTTGCACGTGTTAATCATTTTGATACTGTAATCATCCCATACTATGACATCAAAGTACCGCGAGAGCGTTTAGAGAGCAGACAGCTCCATATGCTTTCGAATGCATCTCGCCGTACTTCGATGTCATACACCGATCGGTTTTCGCAGTGCCGCTTCAAGTCAAACACACCTTTTGGAAACTTTTTGTGCCGCCACATGGTGCTCTATCACTGCAAAACCAAATGAAGTTCCTCTCTAGACGTCATGGGTGGAGCTTGACCTAGTCCAGGTCCACCTCTGTGAATCTAATGGGTGGAGGGATATGGTTATGGATAGGGTGTGGTTGGACCTTCTAGCTCCACCCATTATACCCATATTACATCCAGAGATTCCACTTGAGCTTGTGCCCTCCAAAAAAAATAAAATGATTAGTGGTGAAACATCTTTTACACTATTAATACAATTCACTATAATGTGAATTGTATTAAGGCAAGACAATACAGGCAAAACCCACTATTTCTTTTCAGGAAGGGGGTCTATTTTAATACGTTTAAGTGTTTATTACACTATCTATTTGTCTCTATAGAATCAATTACAATATGTATCTTTTAAGGCCATTTTCTCAAAAATGAGTTTTTCCCTCATGCACAAAAATCTCCACTTCAGTAGCAAATACATCGAGCAGTTTCTATATTCTGAAGGTTTATTAATATTGCATTGACATGCTACATTAAGATTTTCGTTCACAGCAAATTTAACTAACGTGAAAATTTTTAATATTGACAAAACTACTTGTGAATGAAGTTCATACATAGACAAAGTAATTTTGACCTTTCCTAATGTGTTGATGTACTGTTTTACACCTCACCCGTGTGTTTTTGTGTCTCTTCCTCGTAGATGTGGATCCCCTGTCCACAGTGCAGACAGAACACTCCTCTACCTCGCGGGGGCGCCACTGGACTAGACCTAGACCTGGCAGCGTTTCTGGGTGTTAAAGCTGAAGTGGAAAACCAGCGAACCTACAGCCAGAAAGCTCCGCTGGAGACCAAAACCTCCTTTGTAAAGCAGCCAATCACAGATCAACCCCCTTCAGCCTGGGCCAACATGGCCCTGACGGAGCATGGTTTCCGCAGAAGCCCTTGCTGTAGGCACTGCCTGCTCTGCTGCTGGTGGTGCTAGATTCATCTTCACACTCCTATCAATCTCTTTCTGCTTATGGATGGTGCATAGACTGAACTCCATGACCGTGAGATTACAGTATGTCTTGAGCAGAATTATTATTATGTTTTTATACAATGGATATCTCACTGTCAGAACTTACAGATTATTTTACAAGATTGCCTTGGACAATAAAATGCAATTTATTCGGGTACCAAATGGATCAGTAATATAACAAATTCTGCAAAACTCAGCGTGGACTTGTGTTCAAAATGGACGAGGATGTATGGACATACTTTTAATATGATAAAGATGGAAGAATGGACAGACTGGATTTCAGATCTTAGACAATCCAATAGAATAACAGATGATTGTTACAACACAACTCAAACTATGGGAAACATTTGTTTGTATTCATGATTTGATGAATTGAACCAAACGGTCAATCAGCTTCCAGTTTAAATATTTCCTGTGTTGTTTTCCAGCTCTTTAAAAAAATAAACGTAAAAAATAAAAGCCAGTATAACTAAAATGTAAAATGAAAATATATCAAGAGGAAGAGAATCTCATTCTGCCATCCAGAGTTTGAAGGTTCGGTCATAAGAGCAGGTTGCAATGAGCTGTCCGTCAGGTGAAAGGTCCAGTCCCATGACCTTCCCCTCATGCCCCGCCAGAGTCTTCAGAGGTGACCAGCCAGGATGGGTCCACACTTTTGCTGTGTTGTCATATGCACCAGTCAGCAAATAATGGCCATCGTTAGCTAAAAAGGAAGAGACCCTGTTAATATTGACACTCCAAAAATGTCACAAATTCAATCAAGGTGAATGAAGACTCATTCACTACACAGAAGGTAGACCTATAGGGAAAGACAAAAGATTTATTCACCCAAAACTTGTAAATGTGAAAATTCAGTGTGTTTTTTTTCTTTCATTTTGGGGACTGAGGTTGCCGACAAGAGGGGTGAGTAAATGACCATTTTTATTTGTGAGTGAATCATCCCTAAATGACTGAAAAATCTCCTTTTGACGAATACTTACGTTGGAACTTGACTGAGGACACGAGGTTCTGATGGGCAGGGATTGTGTATATACACCTTCTTTGACGAAGGTCCCACACTTTACAGGTGTTATCGCCACTTCCTGTTGCCACATGAAAGCTACAAAAGGAAGATTTCCGGGTTAATTATCAAATTAAGATCCAATAACAGTAAACGGCTTTAGTACATCTTCCAAATATGTTCTTTCTTTTTCTCACCCATTTGGTGAGAAATTGAGGCTGTAGATCTCTTTGAGGTGGCCCTCCAGGAACATGATGCAACGACCAGTCCGAAGGTCCCAGACACGGGCAAATGAATCCAAACCACTGTAGCATTGACAAATGAAATGAATACAACAATGAGCTCCACAGCCAAATATAACACATCCTATTCAATCAATCAAACGCAAAAATTGGTCCGGGCTCTAGTAAAGCAAATATCGCAAGTGTGAGGAACCATAAACAAAGGATTAAAATGTTTTTTTTTGTTATTTGGCCTTAAACCATATATGCTTGGACTCATAATCATGAGCATCAAAGTAGCTGTATAGATAGAGGGTTGCGCCTATTCCTATACAAAAACAGTGGAGTGCCTCAGGGTTCAGTGCAAGACCCTTACCCAGTTCCTGCCAGAGAGCCGTCTGGGTGGAAGTGCAGGTCATGGACACCTTTACTGTGACCCTCCTGATGCAGAATTTCTTCTTGGACCTCAAGATCCCAAAGTCTCCATGAGTTATCATAGCTTTAAGAAAAACAAAATATACTTATTCTGTTAAATATATGACAAAAGATGTAGCCCAACAGCAATATTCACAACTCTAATTTGCTTTTACCTAATAAAAAAACTATATTAAAACTGAAAAAAGAAAGAAAAATCATACCAAGTTGTGCCCAAAAACCGTCCAGAGGGATGCCAGGCCACCCGAGCCACCCTCATAGAGTGCCCCTCAATGTCTGCTATTGGCTCATCACTACAGATATATGTACAGGTGAATGTTACAAAGATTTACTCCAGAAACTGAGAAAGAAAATGCAAGTAATACTAATAATCCACACCTGTCTAAACTCCACAGCTTAACGGATCCATCGACAGCACAGGAGGCCATATTGACATCCGACTCCTCAAGTGTGAGTGTGGCTTGAGGGTGAAAGCTAATCGCTCCCACGTTGGTAATGTGACCTGAGAAAGAAGAGTTCACCATCAATTAATCCAATGTTGCATTGTAAGAGCGAAATGAAAAAGTATGACAACGACAGACTTCAAGAATAAACACTACAGAGCATATTTGTTATATTTACCTCTTAATGTGCGAATTAGCGTACAATCTGGAACTTTCCACAATTTACACAAGCCACTCCTACAACAAAGACAGACATACTTGGTACAAAAATTGCATCTTTTAAAATCTTTGAAACATTAAATATTTATTTGATTTAGTTAATAGAAGTTAGCTGATAAGCAAAAACTCATTTATTTTGTAAAACATCAAAAATACAGGAAGTGCCTAAATTTAGATTAAGTGAGGTAAAGGTAGGTTGTTCTAAGCATCTTGGAGAAGTTGCCACAGTTTTTCTATGGATTTCTCAGTCTCTTCATGTAATTTAAGACTGACTCTATGATAGCAGTTGTGTATGTGCTACACCTTCCTGTTGTAGGACTCCTTGTTAATAATCCTAATTGGATTATACAAAATTTGCGAAAGTAAAGTATAAAATTGATGCTTCCTAAAAACTGTTAAAATATATTTTATATAAAACATCTAAATAACCTTCTAAAAATATTTTTGTGAAGAATGCATTAAAAAATAAAATAATATATAAAAGTTAATAAAGAAAATGAACACATACCATGATGCCGTCACAAGCAGCTTAGAGTTGGGGCTAAACTGGCAGTGAGATATTGGACGGTCATCACCAATTTGACTGCAGAAGTTATTCACATTCTAAATAAAACAAAACAATTTTAATAATTCTATACAGCATTAAAAGAGACAGAAAACTACAACACATCATAAAGCCTGTGTCTTTTTCCACTTGGTATGCTGTCGTACCCGGAGGTTCTTGTGAAGCTCTTGTTGTTTAACTGTTCTTGTAGACTCTGGAATCTCTCTTTGGGCTCTTGCATCATCTAACCTTTGCACTGCTCTGGAGAACCAAACAAAATCAATTTAAAATGTTTAAAATACACAATTAATGACATTTGGTTGCATTTTTATTTATATTATTAGATGTTACTGTAAAATATCTATCCCGTGTTTACCTGGGCAGTGAATACTTGGCTAACCAAAGACGTGCCTCCTTCAGAGATGAAGGTCCTTCATGGTACCATGTCTGCTGATACTGCACAAAACACATGCATATTTATACCTTTAATCACCTTCCATTTGACATTCAAATCTTTTTATAGTCTATTTTGAAAGTGGAATGTTCCTACCTCATCTTGAGAGCGTTTAGATTTGTCATCCTCTTTCTTTGATTTCTTCAAGGCATCAGGACCAACTACTGAAAGAACGTTCCTCAATCTGAGGAAAATAAACAGTGGAAACATAAAAAAAACCCTGAACTCCAAATAAAACTGGATTGATTTTCAGACATGCCTGTCAGTACGGATGTTAAAAGTGATTTCAAGTAGTTTCTTCTGTCATTTTGGACAAGGTGTATGTAATGTTAAAAACAACACGCAGTAGTAGCGCACTAAAGTCCAAACGTTTGAGGTCAGTATGATTAAAAAAAAAAAAAAAAAAAAAAAAAAAAAAAAAAAAACCTTTTATTCACCAAGGATGAATTAAAATGATCAAAAGTGACAGTAAAGACATTTATAATGTTACAAAAAAAAAATGATCATGGTTTCCACAAAAATATTAAGCAGCACAACTGTGTGAAAAAAAAGTGTGAGAAAAGTGTGATAAAAAAAAAAAAAATCATGTTCATGTGACACTGAAGACTGGAGTAAAGTTGCTGAAAATTCATCACAGGAATAAATGGCATCTTAAAATATATTTTACATTCAATTGTAATCATATTTCACAATATTATTGTTTTTACTTTATTCTAATAAAATAAATGCAGTATTTGTAAACATAAGTGATATTAATGACATAATTAATTTCTCCAAATAGCGAACATTCCCCACTAAGCCGAGGTCAGACTAGACTTTGACACTGTAACGGTTGTGATATGACGTCATGCTCTGACGCGTCTTTTTATAATAAACATGAATTCAACATTTAACAAATAGTAATACATTCAAAATGTAAAAAATATACAATCTACCTGACTTTAATGCAAAAATATAGTTGTTTTTTTTATTCAGCCAAGAGGTCACGCTGTGACGTACCGATTTTCTACTGGTCACATCTTCAAGTGAAACGAATTCGCAGAATTCACCAAACTTCCACTTTGGAAAGCAGCAAAAAGCAGAACTTTTCACATGAGCTTGCGTTTGCGGTCTGACCCATTCACATCCGTATGAATGGAAGTAAATGAAACAAAAAGTGTAGTGTGACTGACCACCCCTTAAACTGTTGTATTATGCAAACGACGCGCAAAATGGCTAATCACCACTTTTTTTGATTGTATGTCAGATGATTTAATGTCTGGTCTTCCTGTCTAAGAGGGAAGTTCTTCTTAGGAAGAATAAGCAGCAGAGCTTTATACAAAGGTCCCCCACCTCTCCCGTCTGTCCGCAGGCCCCTCCCCGAACAGCGTGATTGGCTCGCCAAGAGCTCGGAGGCAGGCCTTGACCTCCACATCATCAGTGGAGACTGTGATTTGTCTGGCTCTTTTTCTGCGCTCAAACTCTGCCAGCACTTCAGCCTGACGCTCACTCACGCGCTCCTCCATCTCCATGGACTCACCTGAGGAGAGAAAAAAAGAAATAAATCACACTAGTAAAGAGCAAACAAACTTCCCTTCCCGCCACAGTCAGATAACAACCCTGTAAAGCTTGACTTAAATAAAACTTTTTTAATGGAACCTTCAGACAAAACATAAAAGAGAACCTAAAAAAAGTTTGCACATGCGATTTATGTTCTGTATCATGTTTGATAGATCCGGCTTTTATGGCTCATATCCTATGATATAATGAAAACATAGAACTCACACTTGAGGAGGAAAAAAATAAAATGAAATTCTGATAACTTCTTGTAAATCAAAGAGATCTTTATAAAAGTACAGCAGACTACTTTATGCATTATGCATCTATATGCATTAACTGCATATAAATATCAGTCGTCACACTATATCTCCCAATAATATGTCTTAGGAAGATGAAATTTAAGTGTTTAATTTTATTTTGTGGGGAAAAAAACATATAATGCAACCCAAGACCATGTTGATGGAGAGATGAACACATAAACATACCTCAAAAGCCTGATGTATCAGATTTGACGCTCACATTTAAACATGATTTTTCTAAAACATGATGTATGAATAATCAAGTAAACTTAAGGTGCATTAGTTCAGTAAATGTTCATTTTTAAATTATAATATAAAGACATGTAACAAGACTTAAAAGTGGACATTTTAGGATTACACACTAAAAGGCCTTTTACATGCTAAAAAAGTATGAACTATCAATCACAGGGGAAGGCATGTAGTAGAAGGTGTACGACTGTTTTGATCATGTTGATTAATTAGAGGCCTTGGAAATGTATGCATCAAATATGATAGTCGACTTTTCAAGATTTTAGTGGTTTGAGGGTTGAGTTTGATTGTCCAAACATTCACTATCCAGAACAGAGCTGCTTTGAAATATCAATCTTACCACTGGAGATATTAATATGTCCAGAATCAATGCCAGCTTTAACAGCATCTTTGGTAGATGTTCCATCACGACTAAGACGACTAAGACGCTCCTTCTCCTTTTCTTCAAGGCTTCCATAGAAGATTCTGGCCCTTTTCACAATTGGAACTTCGTCTTCATCCGACATTGTTTCAAATATTTGTCTGGCAATCACAGAATACCTGATCTGAAACAGAGGCATAATTATTGAGACACCATATCATGCATTACAAATAAGATACAGACAATAATACGTCATACCAACCAACCTTACCTTTACTTTGGTTGCTGACAAATGCAATATCATCAAAATATTATAATTAAATGGGTCATACACACACTCAACAAAAGATAGGACATATTAACGTTAGGTATTATTTAAAGGCTGAATAACTTGTACTCCTAAACTATCAAAAACGTAATGTGGTATTACCGTGATATTCTTTGAATTACTTTGAAGTACCGCGTAAACACCATAGTATTTGAATACGGCAATCATTAAGTAACTTAACATGAACCATATGATACATCACTGTACCACAGAACTTTTTGCAGGGTATTCATAGAAAAACACATTTAATCTAAAACTTGAGAAATTAATGCAAAATAAACACATCCAACTCTTCACTCACCCTTTATGCTTTCACAAACGCACAAATATTGTCCTTTAAAAACAGTTTGTTTTTATGAAATCTAATGTGTACTGTCTTCAAACACGACCAGACAACGCGGGCTATCCGGCGCACAGTATTTCCGTCATATCCGCCTGTTTTACTCTTGTCTTTACCGTGAATAAACAGTGACATCTAGCGACTGATATATATATGTCAGTCCACACGAGTGGAGAAACTGAGTTTTATACAGTCTATGGTGGAACTGGAAACACTAGTTTATTACGTTGATTAGTTTTCATGCTTTTTTAGTGAAACACAGTGAACACATGAAGATTAAATGAGCGTACATAAACGTGTATATTACTATATGGTGTAAGTTGTCACATAACCTGCCATCAGATTCCTTATTATGGGCTTTTCAACTAAATGTAAACAGTAATAAATAAATAAAAAAGTAATATATCAACACCCCATCCCACCCACACACCATCGTTCCACGGAGTTCTATCCTTTTTTCCCGTCCTGTGCGCTTTAACTACATTTCCCATGATCCCCTTCTGAACATTCTTTGAAAGCAAGCAAGTGTGATTGCGGTAAGTGTTGTGATGTGAACAAGTCCTATCTTTCAGTTTGAATTGTTTGTCGTTGATCTGTCATGTTCACTAAAGTTAACAACAGTCTTCATGGTTCATTATCCTGTTTTTTTGTGGCTGTATAAGACACAGAGTTTAAAGCTATTGGTCTAATTAGCATGTAGCTGCTAAACAAGATGGTTATGTGTCTGCAGCAGAAGTCGATTCACTGAATTGACATTATATGCGCTTTTCAACGATGTTAAACATCAAATACTAATATTCATTCAAGTATGTATTATGTATACAAATGTCAATCTTGTACACATCTGCTTAGTGATAGTAATTTCCTCAAAACATGTCAACAAAAGTTGAGCACATAGCTAAACTATATACATATATAGGCTAATGTGTGTGTGTTTGTTTTCAGGACTCATAACACACAACATTTTATCCACAATAACAGTGTATGTTTCCTGGCAACGTCAACCCGGTGATGTGAAGATGCTGCGCAGGAAACCCACGCGCCTTGAGCTCAAGCTGGATGACACGGAGGAGTTTGAAAGTGTGAAGAAAGAGCTGGAGGTAAAATCTTAATGATCATCCAGTAACTTAAATTAGTACTTGTCTGTATCCGTATGCTTTTTATACAAATTACTGTACTGTACATAAAAGCACATTAAAACAACCAAGAGATAAATTCGTTTTACATCAAAGTCAAGCAACAATTATTTATATAGCCCTCTGTACAACACCAATTGTTTCAGAGCAGCATCACACTAATAAACATGAAAATAACAGTATGTAATTCATTACACTGAAACAAATACCGATTTCAGCTCCACAGAACACAATAGTGGATATTTATGGATATTTTATGGTCCTACTCCTTTAACAGACGATATATATACATTTAGACCACTTAACTTAGTGATTACTGTCAGGATTGTATAGAGACTTTTATCCAGCATAACAAAAAATGTTTCTGGAACAAATCGTCTTCCCTAATTTAACACATCAGATCCTTAATCGTATCCCAACCATCCTTGCTGGAACAAACGGGTTATACCAGCATGGTCAAGTGCAAGTAAGGATTAATCTTGCTTTTATGATCTCCACAATACTTTTCCATGTCTGTCCAGAGCCGGAAGAAACAGAGGGATGAGGTGGATGTAGTTGGTGTAGCCACATCCAGTGAGATGAGCGGTGCATCAGGTGGCGGCACGGACGGGAAAACCAGGGAGCAGATGATCCACGAGCGAATCGGATACAAACCCCACCCAAAGCCAAACACATTACCATCACTTTTTGGAAACCTTCAGTTTTGACAATTTGCAAACCCGAAAAATGGACAATAAGGTCTTGAGAATCTGCAACACTCACACACATTGTTTTGATCTTGACTGACCTGAAATAGACTGAAAGCACATGCATTTTGGGTTTGGTTAACTGTGTTTGTGACAACTGATTTCAAAGGATTATTTTTCTGAGTAAATAAAGTCTGCTAGTTGAACGGAGAAATGGGTATCTTTTCACGTCTTTCATTTCACAACTGAGCCGAAAATTAAAACCAGGTTGGTTTATAAATGAGGTGGTCACAACAATTATCTTTGAAATCATATAATATTTATTCATCATTTACTTCATGATTACAGTACTGTGTATATTTCAAACTCTACAGACGTGACTGAACTGTAAACAGCCTAAGAAATGTTAACACTGCGACAGCACTGGAAACAAAGTTGAATCCTCCTACCCTTAAGCTTGTAGTTTTTCCCCATCTAAGACAATGCAAACTTATTTTGTTATTAAAATAAAATTGCAATAGGACTAAGCCCAGATAGTCAAATCTACAGAGTGGCACCTGCTGCAAAAATATGATGTGAATATTTTCTTTTTTCTGCTTTTAACTAAAAAACAAACAAACAAAAACCCACATGCTTACTGGTTTAAAATATGTGGTTTTGTGATTTTGTCAGTAAGAAATCCTTCGGATCCAGCCTTTTGTTTTCACAAGCAATTCATACACTTTAATGTCTGGGCACTTGACATTGGGTCCCGCATGTAAAGGCACACCCCTTTCAAATTAAGGAGCATAACTATCATCAATTTTGACATAAAAATCACATTCTGGGACCCAGTAACTATCAGAGCGATGACCTTAATATGTTTAACAGCTCATGATTAGCTCAACATCACAAATGTGCCACAATGTTTTATTTAAAAGATGTCAACGTAAAAGGTTCTACATAAAGATTGCTAGAAAACATTGATATCAAGTACACGGTCATAGTTGAGTGTTACAAATATAAATTATAAAATGAAATCGGTGACACTGGCATCAGATATAATTTATTTTTCACCAATCTCCCCATATTTACTTAAAAGCACTCCAAAGGGAGCAAAGTTCGACTTCAAACTCCGAGTCCCAAAACCTCTCTTTCTTGTGCAAACATCATTCAGTCCAGTGTTTATGTCTAAACAATGGTCACTGATTATTAACGGTAGTTTCATTGATGTGAAACACTTGGCCATAACAACCTCCAAAAAAAGAAAGAAAAAAAAAACACCCTCCAACCACTAGAGTTATTTGTCTATTGGGTCCAGATCCTGTTTGGATTTTAGAGTCTACGGTCACACCTCTTGGGTGTGTGTGTTCCCTCGTTTAAGGCAAAGGGTTTAATAAGGCTCTATCGCATCAAGAGATGTGGATAACAGATGTGATTCTAATGAACAAGGTAACCCGTGAATCTCAGTACGATGTGGAGGTAGACTGTTAAGGTCTGGTCACATTTAAGGCACAGTCACATTAGTAAAATTTCACTGGCAAAAGTCTATGGTCAATAGAATAGTGATGCATGAAGCACCACTCGCAAAGAAGTCTTTCAAACCAATTGGCTTTCTGTTGGCCAATGTGGTGAATTCGGGTGAAAATCTTGGAATCCATTGTGAAATCTGGATGGAAATCTTTTTCCCTTGTGCAAAATTCCAGATCAAATGGATTCCTATTAAAATGACTGGAAAAATTCACTGAACAACGGTAAATTTTCATTGTTCAGGGAATTTTTGCATTCGAAATCAATCCATTTCAATGATTGGAAAATTGTTCATAAGGGCAAAAGATTTCCGCACGCAGATTTCGCAAAGGGTTCACACTGGTCACTGCTCGGTTTGAAAGTGACTTCTGTGCGAGCTGAGCTTCATACATGGCTACACTACTGACAACGGACCTTTTTGCTCTTTATGTTTATGAATGTGACTGCGACCTTTAGGCTGTGCACACATATCTCAACATTACAGAGGAAATGACCGGGATTGGTGGCGATGAGCATTTGGGATATGAAATATGGGGCTAAATTGTATCAAAATCAAATCAAAATAGAGCTTTAAAATGAACAGAGCTACTTGGCCAATATTTACCAAGAACTATTAAATCATACAGTTCTCTAAACACATAGATTTGCTGTGATTGTACAGTGGGTGTTTTTTGAGGTTTTTATACAAGAGAGGTTAATGACAGTGTTCTGTAATATCCACCACTACTGCCTTCTTCCAGCTGAACAGGAAGTAGCCGAAGCCAGCGCCCAACGCCACTGCTATGCACAGGTAACCGTTGTACGTCATGAACACCAGCATGAGGAAGTAACTGACCACCACTTGGATGATGTGAAGAAGCGTCTGGATGAAGTGTGGGAGACTCATCATCTTCTGGCTGGTGAAGAGAACAGAACCAGGTGTTGACCTTATTATGGGATTACAAATGTCAGGTCATCAGTGTGAAGAAACCCACGAAAATGCATGTTTACCTCTTAGAGGTCACTCGTGTGGTAATGAATAGATACAAGGGATGATTAAATCAGTGTAAACAGGCTAAAGGCTGATTTTTACTGACCTCGTCGTCATACAAACAACGATGATGAAAGAAAAATACTTCTAAAAACAGTGTTTTCACTCAGAGATAGAGGTCTGCAAACCAGGGGTTTTCAAACAGTGGCGCAAGGAGGCGCTAGCCTGTCCTCAGAAAACTCAATAGCACTGGCTAACAAACATGAAATTGCATTTGCAACCCATTTAAAATTCATTATGTCATATGTAATTCAAGTGAAACGCGTAGGGTGTTGAATCAGGATCGTTTAGAATGTGCAAATGGGCCATTCCATATCATAATGGAGACTTGAAAAGGGCACATCTGATAACTTGAAATTTTATAAAAGATTATGAAGACAAACATTATTGTGCACTGATGAATCATTCAGAATAAGACCAGGAAGGTTCAATAAGATAGTAAACTGTTCAGACTGCAGGTAAATGTGGCCCAAATCCGCTCACGTGTCTCTGTTTTTCTCATGACCAGCAGAGTGTGAACAGGATTCCGATTTTCCGATTTGTGCCACTTCAATATGTGGTACTAAATCTGATACAGGTCAGATGTTTTGCAATGCGAACTCAGGCTGAGAAGTCATATCGGAATTCATGCGACTTTTACGTCCCTCTAGATCAACATTCGTCACAATTCTGCGCTCATGGGAGTCACTTCAAAGATTGTACATACCCGAAGTTATCAAGCCAGTTGCGAAAGGCAGTCAGTGGAAGGACAGTGATGTCAGAGCTCAGAAGTATTACAGTGATAGCTCTCTATACAAGCAAAACATGAGGGCTCGTATCATAAATGTTTAAAGGGATAGTTAACTTTGGAATTAATTTTTGGTATGTTTTAGCTTACCTCAAGGGCATCCAAGATGTAGGTGTCTTTGTTTCCGCAGTAGTTTCAATTTTTATATTTTTAGGTCAAACCGTTCTTGTCTGTCAGTCATATAATGCAGGTCTATGGTCACCACCTCAAAGAGCATGCACAGAGAAGTCCAAATTAAACATGATTTAATGACTCGTAAATGTAAGTGCACATTGATGGCCTAAGACACGAAACGAGCGGTTTGTGTGAGAAAATGAACAGTATTTATATCGTTTTTACCTCTTGTAAACACAGCCACGTCCAAGTGATCTGATGCCGGAAAGCGCCGGAAGTGATCTCTCGCGCGTGTACGTCACTCATACAATTGTTTTATTTTATTTTAAATTGTGTTATGGAATTTTTCTATTATTACTCTGATTTCAGTGATTCCTAATGATGGCCTCATCTGTTCTCACGAATGTAGTGATATGGGGCCTTTGGATGATAATTTACTGTGGTTGGGAGTCAGTGGAGGTAAGGAAAAGCAGGTGGACAAGGGGTCATCTTGAGTGCATTTGTACGTTATAGCCTAAAGGGTTAAGGGGGCATTTACCTCTCAGGGCCAGGGAGAAATAGGGAAAAAACAAAGTATATCTCTCCTGTGAGGGGAGGGCAGAAATAAGGCCTTGGAGGACACAAGATATAAAAAAGACAGACACTGCTTCTCTTTATCTCTCCTCACTGACTCACGAATGTGTATTGGTGACGAAGATCTCTCTTGCAAGAGAATAAATATTTTATAAACTATTAAATTGGACTCAGAGTGTCTCTTACTCAGTGATAATGTTTGTTGGAAAGGAAAAGCCACAACAATTGTTTTCTTTTACGACGGTTTAAACATCCCGGATAAGCGCAAATTAGTACCATTTTAATTAGCCGTCTTACCTACAATCTCTGTTCTGTGTAAACAATGAGTGACGTACACGCGCGAGAGATCACTTGCGGCGCTTGCCGGAAAAGACCGAAGCGCCCGCGCCCTCAGATCACTTGGACGTGGCTGTGTTTACAAGAGGTAAAAACGATATAAATACTGTTCGTTTTCTCACACAAACCGCTCGTTTCGTGTCTTAGGCCATCAATGTGTACTTACATTTACGAGTCATTAAATCATGTTTAATTTGGACTTCTCTGTGCATGCTCTTTGAGGTGGTGACCATAGACCTGCATTATATGACTGACAGACAAGAACGGTTTGACCTAAAAATATCAAAATTGAAACTACTGCGGAAACAAAGACACCTACATCTTGGATGCCCTTGAGGTAAGCTAAAACATAACAAAAATTTATTTCAAAGTGAACTATCCCTTTAACAACTCTGCTCTCTATTTTTCGTATCCTCGTCTTTGTTTTTTATATTGCTTGCGCATAAATTCGCTGGATTCGGCGGCAGATCACACTATAAATAAACGTGCAATCGCTTTAATGTCTTTGGTGTTTACTTCCATATGACAGTGGTGTATGTGTTTTCTTTTCATAGTTCTTTTACACATGCAGGTCAGACCATGATCTTTTCGCACTAGAATGTGATATTGGCCACATTTAAAACAACAATGTGAACAGCTATACAAAAAAAAAAAAAAAATCGGATCCGAGCAATAAATCGGAATTGAGCACTAAGGCTCTGATTACTCTGATCATTGACTTTGACACCTGCGCAGACCTCCTGAAAACATGAGTACTCATTTCACTGACCCGACTGTTTTATGTGTCTCCATGAGAACGGTGCCATCGGCTCCTGGGACTGGCATAGAGTTGTAGCGCACGTTCACCTGATTCCTTCTCAACAGGACCTCACGGCCGATCTTCAGGCCCTCGTAGAGCATAGCCAGCAAGAGAACACCAATGCAAGCACCTACCATCTCTAAAGACGAGGATGAAGAAAGGTTAAAGGGGTCAGGAATTGAGAAATCAATTGTTCCTTGATCTTGACATTTAAGAGGTCTCCAAAGATCTCCAAAGTTCCTCGTTAGTCCAAAAACAGATTTGAATATTGAATATCACTTCACATTATTACGTCATAGTGCGATGAAAAACCGCCTCTACAGGAGATGATCAACACCCATTTCTACATCGTTGCCGCTTTAGCCCCGCCCACCAATTCGCACATGCCATGTCGTAGAAAATATGAGACAAAAACACAAGATCCAGCAACAAAATGATAGAGATGCCTCTGATTACAAGACCTTTTGAAGTGCCAAGTTGTGAGAAAACGCATTGCATTGCTATCTTTGTGATCCTAACATTAAGAAAGTGTGGATGAACTTTATTTTGAATGAAGGTCCAGTCAGATCACATCAGTATTTCGTTTCATTTTACTGTGGATTCGTTTTTTTAAACAAGGCAGTTTTTTCAGGGAGACTGAAAATAAAAGATAATGCCGTGACAACTATGGGTTATTGGATCCGATAATGCCGCAACACACAAGTGTGACTAAAAGTGTTTTTTTACCATGTGTCCCTATTGCTTTATCTGATACAGGGTTTGATATGCTCTGAGTATTTATACTGTAGCGTCGCAGTCAAACTGAATAGTTGTGATTTGCTGTTCTTTCCTTTGCTTCGGCATTTATAGGGTTAATGCGTTGGATTATCAGATAACTGGAAACTCCAAGTACTTCAACAATATTTGCCACAACCAAGATTTAAACATATATGTAATACGCATTGATGTTTCACATTGTTGGCAAATATTTAACAAGATATTTTTCAACATCGTAATTTTTTTTAAACAATTGCACACGTGTAATGGGACGCTGAAAATGATTTCAATATGCAAAACTGTTAATCATATAAGTGGGCGTTTACTTCCAAGTCTTGAACGCGAAACGTCCATCAAAACGGAGTATCAATACAGGATAGAAAATAGCTTATTACTTCTAAATTAGGATTTTTTTTGGTGTAAAATTATTGATAACATTATAAGTGGACCTCAGAGAACATAAAAAAAAAAAAAAAAATGAAGTTCATGTTCCTCTGAACACATAAGAAACCTTACAGTACATTGTTTGTTACTTCATCTTACAATCTCAGTGTAATCTAGACTTCCTGGTTACAAAATATTCTGTTTTGTTCTCATAATTAAGATGATTCAGCTTGATAAAACTAGTGCAATCTAGTAAAACCTGTACAACCAGTACACTTACCCTCAACACTAAGAGGGTATCTTATGACATTGAAAGAACAACCAGTAACACGTTTTGTTTTTATTTCAATATCTAGTTTCAGGTCATCTCTACAGTGAAAGTGGTTCAATGGAGGTCAGCAAGTCACTGTACTGTTGATTTAAACTTTCAATTGGCGCATCAAGTCAATGGTAATTTGCATAAAATGTTGCCACGAAAATGCGAATTAAACTGGATAACTTCATTATTGTTTTGTCACTGCAAATTGCTGCCAGTGTGAAGAGCCCAAAAAAAGGATAGTCCACACAAAAATAAACATCTGTCATCATTTACTATTCCAAAAATCGATATTTTGAAGAACATTGTGAACCAAACAAGATTAGAGCCCACTGACTTCCAGTGAATGAAATTTCCCTTATGTTCCACAGAAGAACGCAAGTCATTGTTTGTAACAACATGAGGGTGGGTAAATGATGACTTTTTTTTTTTTGTGAACTATTCCATGAGAGCAGCAGGCGTAATGATATGACGCAGCGCCTGAAAATAGTTCCGTTGTGTTGACGGACGGTAGCCTATTTTCAGGCGCTGCGTCATATCATTACGCCTGCTACACTCATGGTACGGCAGTAAAGTTTCTTGATTATTACGCAGGAATGAGAGTATAGTTCCTAGCCATATCAGCCTAGAAAATCGCAACTTTACATTTTCCGTCGGTCTTAGTGCACGATGTAACTACAGAAGAGTCAAGTTTTAAATAGGAAAAATATCGCAACTCTTTGGTCATTTTTTTTTTAGAAATGCTAATGGTCTTGTCCACTTCAATGATGTATGCTAAGCTATGCTAAAAGTGGTACGGTCAGAACCGGAGATCGGCTGAATGGATTCAAAAACGGTAAAACTCAACAGTTTAACTCTGGGGGAGTTGTAAAATGAGACTATTTCCCAAAAAAAAGTGGACTATCCCTTTAAGGAATACCACAATTTTTCATCCTCTTAACTTAAACAGTTAAAGGGATAGTTCACCCAAAAATTAAAATTAGCCCATGATTTACTCACCTACAATCAGAGATATATTAAAAAATGACCTGGCTCTTCCAAGCCTTATAATGGGAGTCAATGGTTTTTTTTTTATTTTTTTTATTTTTTTTAAGTCCATCAAAGTTCATCCATCCGTGATAAATGTGCTCGAAACGGCTCCGGCCGGTTAATAAAGGTCTTCTGAAGTGAAGCGATGCGTTCGTGTAAGAAAAATATTCACATTTAAAACTTTATCGACTAAAATAACTAGCTTCCGGCAGACGGCCTACGCAAGTCAACTTACACCAAAAGAGTAACACTTGACGATGTATGATGAAGGAATAGCGTAAGCTTTGACGCCTCTCACGGTTCAAACAAACACGGCTGGGCAACCGCGTTCGTCATTACGTTGTGCGTCAAGTTCAAGAGTTACTCTTTTGGCGTGAGTCGACTTGCGTAGGCCGTCTGCCGGAAAGTTATTTTAGTCGATAAAGTTTTAAATATGGATATTTTTCTTACACTGAATGTCATATACACCTAGGATGGCTTCAGGGTGAGTAAATCATGGGCTAATTTTCATTTTTGGGAGAACTATCCCTTTAACCTCTGTTGTGAAGAACTTAAAGGAAAGCTTCAAATTTCATTTGATTACATTTTAAAAGATTCATTAAATTGTTAAAGTTCTATGCATTTATTTGATTACCACTGTTCATTGATACTATCTTTGTATTAAATCATAAAACACAGAATCCAGAAAAAAGTTAACATTCCATAGGGCATTATTAGACATAATTCTTTGATCATTCAAATTTTGTTAATTCATTACAACAGAAACATTGAATTTGGGGAAAATAAAATGGAATTTGGGGAAAAATGATAGGACCAATTCATAAGTATATTCATTACAATTTATTTTATATTCACAAGTAGTTAACGATTAATATGTTAGTTTATTAACGGCCATTTCAAAATTTCACCAATTATAAAAAAAGAAAAAAAAGAAAAAAAGAGCATCTTACCTGCTGGGGTGTTGATGACCAGTCCAGCGAATAGCAGCTCCACATTTTTGTAGCCAAAGTAGAAGGTCATTTGCTGAAAGTATAATGAACCAAAGAATTTATGTCAACCTATCTTTGCCCATAATGAATAAAACAATTCTAATAACATGCAGAAGCAGTCTTACTTCCGTTGAACAACAGCTTCAAATGATGATAACATGATCACATGTTTTATACATCTGGATTTTTATCAACTGAACTGATATACTAACACTCAGGCTTAATGAATTCCAGGTTGTCTCACCATCATCATCGTGTGTTGCCCATGACCTGCGTCGGGCGTCGTATGGTCCCCATGAGAGTGTGTGCTATCCGGTGCCATGCTATGGTCCGCATGATCAGCGTGTGGATGTGACATACTTCTCTTACTGCACAGAGGTGCTGGGGAGAGATCAGAGTACAAACCATTCTTACAGATTCAAGTATAATCAAATCAAATAAAACAGTTTTCAGAATATGAAATGACTATTCTGCTAAATGAAAAAGCAAGGAGCAGAACATCTTTAGCCGAGTTAAACAAACATTTCAAGTGTTCCTGGATCATGAAAGTAGCTTTCCAGCTGGTACGTTCAGGGATAAATGAAAGCTTGATACTATGAAATCAATCGTAAGGATAATCTATAGGATCCTGATCAACAGGTTCAAACAAGTAGCCAAAAATAGCCTACAGTAGCAGAGGAAGTAAAAAGTATTTAGACACTTGTAAATATTATGTATATAATGTCACTGCATTATAAACAAAATATCAAACCAAACTGAATCTGCAAAAAAAAAGAAAAGAAATCCCGGTTTTCTCAGAACTAACTTCACTTTTCTGAGCCACTTTTGTAAAGACTTTTAATTAACTTGTGCATCAGTGACATTTAGTGGATATATTAAAGGGATAGTTCACCCAAAAATGGAAATTCTGTCACCATTTACTGTGTCGTTCAAACCCGTAAGACTTTTGTTCATCTTTGAAACACAAATAAAGATTTTTTACTGAAACCTGAGAGATTTCGGTCCCTCCACTGAAAGTCCATTCCACTAAAACTTTAACGCTTCAGAAAGACGTCGTAAAAGTAATCCATACGAATCGAGTGGTTTTCTGAGGAGGCACAATCATTTTATACGAGGAACTTTATATTTAGGGTCAGAAATCTCAAAAGTTTCATTAAAAATATCTCCATTTGTGTTTTCAAAGATAAACAAAAGTTATATATATATAAACACCAAGATACTTTTCAGGGTCACTTACTGTGTATTAAGTGAAGCCCCTGGTTATTTTCAATTCCTGAAAAGAGATCAAATGCTGAGAAAGGAATAACAGATACAAAAGACCTTCACTAATCGAATGTCCCAACAACCCCAGGCTATTCACTTAGACAACGTCGTCCAGATAATCTAATACATGCCTCTATAAAACAATTACTTTTCCCATTTGACCAGCAAACATGCTTTCCTAAAGGTTTGGGACAGCCTCAGGGATAAAACACACATCAGAGATGACTGTACAAGACACACATCAGACTAATGAAGATGATTACCTACACTATCTGCACTGACCATTAGTCAGCGTGTTCTTGTTTGCCTTTAACAGACACTTGGCTAGTCTTCTACAAGTCTGGAATGTAATTTTCCCTCAGATCCAGATCAGATTTAAAGACCAAACGAGGTCAACTGAGGAGCATTGAAAGAGAGGAAAAAAACAAGTCACAAAGTACACTCAGAAAATAAATGTCTGCTTGAATCCTGTCTTCATAATCTGGGAGGCCAGACAATGTGCACTGTTGTCAAGAAAGTAAAACACATCATGTGACTGAACTTACAGCCTGATACCGGCTTTTGGTAGTACACGGTACTACTACAACCAATTTTTTTTATGGACATGTATCTTGGTAGTACTATTTTTTATATTCTTTAAATTACTATGTGAATAAATACTAGCATGGTATTTTATATAGAACATTATTTAGTACCATGGTATTATGGTATTACCGTTTGAGATACCGTGGATAGCTTGTAAACACGACAAAATATTAACTAAATATTGCATTCATTTGTTTCTGCCATTACATTTTTTGGTACAAATAATATGACTGACAAATCCAAAATATATATTTTTTAAATGATGTCCAATGGTGAATTTTCAAAGAAATAACTCACCCAAGCAAAATCTGTCAACTCTCTCAGTTGGCTTCCTTTGTTCCTTATTAAAGTATCTTTTTGTGTGGGAAGTGAACCACAAAAATGTGCAAGTAATTCCTGTCAGTCCTTCCTTCTTGCTATCCTCTGACATACAGGTGCAGTGAGCGTGTAAAGTGCAGCCCGAAAGTGATAGTGTTCAGGACCAGCAGTAGGACTATAGTGTGTGCATGGTCACACTTGTCATGTGACCTCATCTGCCTTTCATTTCCCTCTTCTACCATTAATCCAATCACAAGGTTTTATCCACACCCACAAAGCCTGGTGCCTGAAAAAACGTTTGTCTTCATCCACTATTGCTCACTATTTATAGTGCCAGTTAAAACTTCGCACAACCTACTCATTCTGTATTATGACTATTTTCCACATTTTTTAACAACAATCATCAAACACTATTTTAACAACACAAATAGAACACTGAAAAAATGTTGACTCAAAAAAATGCAACACTTTGCCTCAATCTTTTTGAGTTATAACAACTATGAATAAAATTACATTCGACCAACAAACTACATTGAGTTAGAGGAACTTAATAATTTGTAAAAATTTGATTAATCAAAAAAGTTAACTACATGAGTTCCAGCCCTGGAACCAATTCATCTTATCACATCTTATTTTTTAGTTAAATGCCACAGCATGTTACATATTTAGTATGTAACTTATAAGTTACATAAATGCAACTTGTTTAGCAAGTAAATATCAATGTAGTGTTTACCTTCATGTACCTCCATTTTTAGCTAAATGAACTTCAACATAAAATAAACTCTTTTAAAAGTCAAACATAACAGCAATAAACACTAACAGGACCTTCCCTTTACTTAAATACAAATAAAATTACACTTAACTTCAACATTTATTTTCCTTATCCAGTCCTATGCAACGCATGCTGGGAACTAGAATCCACTGACAAATTTCCAAAGCTATCAAGAATTTTATTAAGTTACGACAACTTAAAAATAAAAATAAATAACGAAGAAATTTAAGTTGAAATTACACACAATATTAAGCAGTGTTGGGCAAGCTACTTAGAAAATGTAGTGAGCTAAGCTAGCAGTTACTCTACATTAAATGTAGCTTCACTACACTGAAGCTACCACCCTGGGAAATGTAGCAAGCTAAGCTACAGCGATATGGCAAAAGTAGTTTACTACATGTAAGCCATTTTTTTATTTTTTTATTTTATAAAATGTTTTATTTTTATACTTCATTCCAAGTCAATGTGTGATCTCAGTGATCAATAAAACTGTCAATCAAATATAGACAGGCAGAATTTGTCAGTTCAATTGTTTATTCAACAACTGTTCCAAAAAAAAAAAAAAAAACATAGCATAAAACCATATAACTATATAAAACTATAACAAAACCAGGTGTCAAGAGCGGGTGCATCTTTTTCCATTAAGTACATTTCTCACGTGTCAGCCCAAGGATTGATATTGGTACGTGATGTCACACCATACGGAGCAGAAGGTGGTGGTAATGCACCAAAAAGCTGGTTTGTAGAGCCCTATGAAATTTTCATTTAAAAAAAAAAAAAAAAAAAAAAATTCCCCACATTCCAAATTCAGTTTTATTTTGTTTTCATTTTTCTGGACTCCCATTTTAATGGTTAAATAAAATTTTAGTAATCAAAAACGTGTAATTAATTGAAATCATGAAACGTATACAATTTAATACTAATGTATTAAAATTTTAAAATAAATGACATTTTAAGAGAGCTATGAAATGTTTTTTTTTAATGGTTTAAATTGTAATGACCAATTTATTTAAAATGTAGGCCTAATGATTTAAGCAAAACTTTCTTCAAAGGTTAAACCAACCTTTTATTTTGACAGGTTGCCATGTAGACCTTTGAGTCTCTCTGTGTTTTTTTGATATGACGATAGTTTTTCTCAAATCAAGCTAAAATGCTTCTAAAGTGACTCTCAGAGCGGCTGTGTAGATGAAGTGCACGTATGAATGTCCTCATATAGGCTGAAAACATCGCGAGCGTCAACAGAACTCAAAAGATTTAGGCCTAATTAAATCAATAAATTCGTTTTTTACTTGCAACAATGCATTTATTTAAGTTGTGGTATCAGGACCCCTAAATTACTTTTTAGAATGAAGTATGGGAATTATGTAGTGACCAAAAATGTCTAATCAAAACTATATTGGATTTAATATATTGGTTAAACAGATAAAACATTTGACTGATTTAGCTTGATGGAAATGCTGCTGATACAGTTTTGCACGCATAGACAGATCTTTTTATGTTGAACATAAATTGTAATGTCGATATTTTAAATTAGTAAAAACTAGTTTGGAAAAAAAATTGACACATTGGCACATGACGTGTCCACATATCTTACTGCTATCAATTTCTTGGTATCATTTACTCTTGTGTTACATCTATATAGGCATCATACACAACGAAACTGCCTAACGAAATCTACATTCCAAAGATTTTTCAATGTATCAAATTTTTTTTGTGGGGAGGGTTGAGATACACCAGTTCAACGTTTTTGTTTTTTTAGGATGATGTAATGACACAATTTTACTTGTAAAACGCCAAATGAATGCAAACAGGCAAAGACAGCAAAACATTTTCTCTTGATAACATAACAGCGGAAATTTTTTTAAAGAAAATTGGTCTAAAGTCACAACGCAAAAAATGTTAATGGTCCTAATAATAGGTTTTAATTTCTTTGCGCAAAATATGGCCAGGATAAGTCCTCAACAGTCACAATGAGAACTCAGTGCAAACCTCTGCTTGAGTTATGAAAAGTACGTGAGTGATTTAACTTTATTGATGTTCAAAGAACAGCTTTTTACAATGTTGAACTGTTAGGACTTCAATTGAGAGCTATGTGCTTGCTTCCATAAATATAAATAGCAGACAAATTATGGGGGGAAAAGGGAGGGGTGTGAGAAAAAGATCACAAAAAATGAGAAACTGCCTGAGTGTTAAATATTTTCATTTCAATGGTAATTATACTAACTTTTTAAAGCATTAATCATTATGTAAAAAGTGATTATATCAATGACCTTTTCAACGCTGAGTGCATGAATAATGGACGAGGATTTGGTCAATCATTACTGATCGTTATGATGTTTTAGACCCAATTAACTTCTCATCAGGTCATAAAACAGGAAACTACGCAAATGAATGTGAAGGGGGCAACATGAAGTGTTCAACAGCATTAGTAGTATAACATACCAGCTTCAGTGCAGAGGTAAAGATGAGGTACAAAGAGCAACTCAACAACAGTTGGCTCATATAGTGCATTTCAAAATTTCACAACAGCAAACAGGTCTAATGTTGAATGTTGGTTTTGTTTGGTTTAGGCAGATCTGAACTGGAGTAAATTTGTATTATCATAAGCAGGGTCACAAATAAATGGGGGGCTTGGGGCATTAAAATGCCCCAAAAATTCGAGGTATGGGGGCAAAAAAATCTCCTGATTGAGTTCTTAATTTTAATATTACAAATAATACAGTTAAGCAATATCAAAAAACACATCTAGAATGGGAAAGAACTTCACGATTGACTATGCTCAAATAGATTCAACAAGCAATCTGATGTTTTTACTGCTGAAAGCTACAGAAAAGTGAATCAAATGGAATCCAGGCAGAGAAATGTGCATTTGCAGTTATCGTTCTGTGTCAGATATGTTGGATTTTGGGGTAAACTTACACCCTAGGTTATATAATGTATTGACAACTCATGAATGAAATATTTACCATCTTACATTATGTATAGCCTAACTGTAAAGCGTTTGTCAGCGTTTATTAAAAACATCCATTAAGATGAATAATGTTAGACAAGCACAGTTTTCCTTACAAATTAAGTTTGTATCGTCTTGCCTGACGGTAACAGCTAACAGTTATCCAGATAACTTTAAAAGTTTCTACAAAATATATTAAAGTCCCCCTGGTTCTTTAGTATGTTCTAAGGAACAATGTCGAGTCCAACTGGCTTTAATTTAAGAAGATAATCGTCTACTTTCCTCTAGTTTTCACAGTTTCCACTATTAAACCCAGTCATGTTGCAGGACGTTTTGCCACTCAGTCCAGCTGAGGGAGCGGGAAAGTGACATCAATGAATACCCTCTCTCAACGGTCTACTGTTTTTGCTCTATTTCACTATTTTCACCACCATGTCCCTTAAGGGACTCCGTACATTTCATCCCGACTTCATACTGAGAAAATAGAGCTTATTTTTAGGACCATTATGATTTTTTTGCATTGTGACATTTTCATTACAACTACTGTAATAGCTAAACTTATTGTAATGTTTAAAAAATATATTACGGTATTTCATTTTAGCATTTTTTTTTTGTGAATTTGATTTATGATTTTAATTTAAAAATACATCAAGATATCAATAATGTTGTATCTCATATTTTTCATATTACAGTAATGAGAAAGAAGGGGAAATATAATTTAAATGGAAAAAAAAAAAGTTTGTGAAACATGACCTGGACATTTCTTTGTGAGATTTACCATAAGAGGATTTCAGACCTGACTACATAGTAACAAAATGCATCAGAGTGAAAACTGGTTTGAGCTTTAATGCCAGAGATTAAAATCAAAATGAAACAAAACTTTGATGGCACACATTCATTTGAGAATAACTAAGTTGAGAGTGAAACTAACACATTTCAGTTGTGTAAAAGCCGTCTATTTAAGAATCCAACATGGACACCAGTATGACGACACACTCAAACCATATTGCAATATAGTTCAGTTGTAAACCAAACCATCATTTGACCTTGACTTTTTTTAATAGGCCTGATAAGTATCATAATCACACAAGAGTTGAATCATTTATATATTTGTTTAAATGTCAAGCTCTGGGTGTTTTTGAAGCCCAGTTGCTTACATACTCTATCCAAATTATTACCAACTTTAGCCAGCTGAAAATAAAGTCGCACAATAGGCCTGTCTTTATCAGTGAAATAAGTCACTTTACACTGGGGGAGCCAGCCTAAAGACAGACAGTCTAAGAGAGACATTTTAGATGCTTTTATCTGAAAGAGTCACAGTCACACAGACAACGAGGTATAGTGTTGTGTTACCCTGACCTGCTAGTGCACTTACACAGATCCAAATCAAAGTACTTTACACCCGTTTGCACAAGAGTAACTCCTAAGAGAGGTAAAACCTAAGATACAT